TAGGGCCCATCCCATTTCGAAGTAAACTTGCTTCCGGTTTTGTGTGTTGTGATGATAGGTCTACGTAATGCGAGGACAAGATCTCCTACTTGAAAAGACCTGGGGCGAACCTTCTTGTTAAAAGCATTCGAAAGCCGAGCTTGATAACACTCTAAGCATTGTTGCGCTTCGAGTCTCTTTTCGTCTAGTGCTTTTAACTCTTGGAGACGTAGCTTTGCATTCTCTTCATCAGTCAATACCTCTTGCACGGCCATCCTCAATGATGGAATTTGACTTTCTAGAGGCAAGATTGCTTCCACGCCATACACGAGTGAGTATGGTGTAGCCTGAGTAGGCGTTCGGTATGTCGTCCGATAAGCCCACAATGCTTCATTTATCCTTTCATGCCAATCTTTCTTGGTTCTTCCAACAACTTTCTTCAACAGGTTGCAAAGAGTTTTGTTGAACATCTCCGCAAGACCATTGGCTGGGGCATTGTAAATTGAAGAGTTGCATTGTTTGAAACCGAAGTCTTCACACAATTTATCCATCAACCGGTTCGAGAATGGCTTTCTATTATTTGTGATGATGTAGCGCGGCACACCATACCGATGAATGATATTCACTTTGATAAAGTTCACTATGTTTTCTTTCTTCACTTCCTTTAAAGGTACAACTTCTGCCCATTTTGAAAAGTAGTATGTGGCTGCAAGAATGTAAGAATGACCATCAGAAGATTTGGGTGCTATTGGTCCCACCACATCAAGGCCCCACGCATCAAATGGCCATGAAGCAATTGTAGGATGTAGCGGCTCCGGCGGCTGATGTATGAAGTTGGCATGGAATTGACATGCTTGACATTTCTTCACATAATCCATGCAATCCTTGACCATAGTCGGCCAATAGAAGCCCATCCTCTTTATTTGGAAATGTAGCTTTGGCCCTGATTGATGAGCTCCGCAAATACCTGAGTGAGCCTCCTCCATTGCTTTGGATGCATCTTCTTCCCCCAAGCATCTTAGAAACAGGTCTTCGAATGAATGACGGTATAGAATCTCTTTATAATAAATGAATCGAGGTGCCCGACGCCGTACCTCTGATCGATGTCTCGAATCATTTGGCAGTTTCCTATGCTCAAGATAATCAATTAAAGGTTGCCTCCAATCGTCAATGTCAATGGACAATACCGAGATAACGTTGGCACATGCTCCAGCGTCACGAAGTCAAACCTTTCCAGTAATTGCGTGGCCATTTGGTGATATGGAATTAGATCATCCTTCCTAACTTCGTAGTGGGTCAACAATTGGTTGATCACTAACATGGAGTCACCATATACTTCTAAGCTCGATATCTTCATCTCTACGACCATTTGTAAGCCCATGATCAAAGCCTGGTATTCTGCAACATTGTTCGAGCAAAGTTCACTTAAAGAGAATGAGTAGGGCAATACGTGTCTCTCGGGTGACAGGAAGACTACGCCAGCCCCCACCCCATCTTTACGAGCCAATCCGTCAAAAAACATCATCCAAGCAAGAGAAATATCAGCGAAGAAGACTTGTTCGTCGGGTAAGTCATCTGAAATTTCCCAGTCTGCTGGAATTAGATGATCGGCTAGGAAATCTACAACAGCTTGCCCCTTTACTGCCTTTGTTGGAGTGTAGATGATTTCATATTGATTGAGAAGTAATGCCCACTTGGCCAAACGCCCCGTCAAGACTGGTTTTGACATAACGTACCTCACCGGGTCAGCTCGTGCAACTAGATGAACTGTGAATGCTTGCATGTAGTGCCTTAACTTTTGAATAGCAAAGACAAGTGCAAGACACGTCTTTTCTATAGGCGTGTAGTTCAATTCGAGACCAGTAAGAGTTCGGCTTAGATAATAGAGTGCCTGCTCCTTATGTGACTCATTCTCTTGCGCCAACAGGGCTCCAATTGACCTCTCTTGAGCCGTAATGTACAATATGAGTGGTTTGCCTGGAATAGGAGCTCCTAACAGTGGTGAACTCGATAGGTACTTCTTTATGCTTTCAAATGCATTGTGACAAGCTTCATCCCAAACAAAAGGAGCATCCTT